GAAAAGCATTTTTGTACCATGGTACAGAATGAAGTCATACCACTTAGAGGTGTTGCAGAAGTATCCAAGCCACAAACTAAGTTGCATATATTTACAATACTAAAACAGTGACTGGAATTGCCTCAAAAGACTAAAATGTATCTGAGCCTGGGTAAGGTAAAATAATGTTACAGATTTCTGAGCCATTAAAATCAAATCAGCAACTTGAAGGTTGATATGCAAATGCAAACTTACACCTCCAGAAGCAGAGAGAAATGTAGCAAATAGTCCTCAAAGCATAGTATAAACTGTCCCCAAAATATCCATTTACTTAAAACAGAGATGCTACTGAACATAAAAAATAAATAACAATAATCAAAAAATAAGTCAAAGCATGCAATGGCCTGATGACATCTATACTTTTATATTTGCCAGTTTTGCACTCACCCCTACTATTAGACGTACTTTAATGGAAACAACTGAGAAACACAGAGACATATGAAATTAGTATTAGTGATATTAAAACTCTGAAAAGAAAGTAGATAATAATTCTTTAGATTTAAAGAGGCTGGCAACAGATTTTTAGTGATTCTTAATTCTGGTTCTTACATACATATGATCCAGGTCATCAGATTCTACCAAACTGCACTATCTTTCTGGAGAAAAGGGTTCTTCTATTGGAACCAGAGAGCTCAGGGGCTAAATATCTGATATTAACCAACAAGGAGATGGTTAGACCTTATGAGCCTTTTTATCCAAGTTTCTCTGTTTATAACTGGCTAAAAATGAAAATGTCACACATTCATTTTCTCAGAATCTCTACGAGACAGCTGATTTTAAAACAAGACTAAAATATAGTCCAAAATATAAAACTTCTACTTCCACAGGCCACCAGAGGTTAACTGGTCTCTGGTAAATGTGTTCATAAACTCCCTCGGAGCATTATTTAGTGCTTGGTTTCCTATGATCTGGTCAGGGTGGACAAAATGCTCTTGAAACAAACGCAAAATAGTTGACGGTTCTTGCAGTGGAAGAATTATGGTCTTCCTATCTTTCCATCTTAGGATGACTAATGGAGGATTAAGCAATTGGCTCTGATGGTCTTTGGCTAAAGAAAATTTTGCTAGGGCCTCTTCATTCAAAAGCTCCACAATGCAATCAGCAGTGTACTGTATCCCTCAATTACTTAGTAATCTTAGAGACACTGAAAATAGAAAAGAAAAAGCTAAATTAAACTCAGAAGTGTTTCTAAATGACAAATATCCATCAAATGAAGCTGTTATGTTTTACAGGTAGTACATGAATGTATTTAATACTAATTAAGCCTAAACAAAAAGGTTGCTCAATCTTAACTGAGAGACCCTGAGAGAGTTAAGAAGTAGCTAAGAGTTTTTAAGTGCTTATCTATCAATAGTTTTGAGTATGTACAGATGGATTAAATAATAATAATTAAAAACTGCTGTTACACAACCTGAAGCTTCAAACTAGAGGGGACGTGTTCTACAGTGACACCTAGTGGTAAAAGGTAATGTAGTGTCAGGACATCCAGACAAAATAGAGTTGGAAAGCCGCTAGGAGATACAGGGAGGGAGGGAGCGATACTCAAAAGGGAAAAGCTAAACAAACAAACAGAAAACATGACACATACCAGTGTCTAAAAAATAGGCCCAAAAGGACATTTAAAATATTTTTAAATCAATAAATTTGAAAAAGGCTTCTCCTGGGCCCAAGTGGCCATGCAAGTCCAGTTCTATATGCAAATTAAAGGTAAGAAGTCTAATTTATTCACGTTTCTATATTAGAAAGAGTAAAACTGGGGGGAAAAAAGTAAAATTGAACCCTGTAGGGAAACATTTTATCATTTTTCAGCCTAAGCTGAAGAAAATAAAAAGCAGACACTTGCTTTAAAAATCTGTGTGATATAAATTCCCCAAATTCCAGCTTCCAAACATCACTTTACAGCAAAATGACCAGCAAGATGAAGTCTGGCCAGAAAAATAAGTAAACAAATCACCTTTTCCCTGAAAAGCATGTTTCAAATGACTGGGCCCATTTTCCCCCATACTTTTACCCAAAAACTTAAATAATAATGTTTAATGTGACCAAGGCCATCATCTTCTGACTCTCAATGCAAGACATCTCGAAAAACTTACTATTTGAACACATATACTTCTCAAAGTAAAATTTTCAAATACTGATTCAAATACAATTTTTGTCAAGGGAAATGAAATTGGTGATAGGACAAAAGCATAGTTTTCTCCAACAATGAAGTGTAGTACTCATGGAGATAGCCAGAAGAAGACTTGATGATCTAGTTCAAATCCATTTACATATTAGAGAACCTAAAATTCAAGTAGCATGGCAAAATGAATAACAGAAAACCCGGGTTCTTAGTCTTGATCTTCAAATAATTAGTCGAGTTTCCATGAACTAAACAACCTTCGATGAACTTGACAACTTTTCTAGGCATTAATTTCCTCATCTGTATGATTTGAGCCAGAAACTAAAGGGGTCTCACTCACAGTAATGCCACTGCTAAAAAGTCTTTGATTTTCCCAGTAGAAGGGAATGGTTTGCACAATGTCCATACCTTAACGACCAGGTAAACACAGCATTAAAAGAAAAGCCGGCTTTATCTTTCAAGTACAGCCTACTATACACACACACTATATTTTAACTGTTTAGGATGATGGAAGAATCCTGGTTTCATCTCCGGTGCCATCTACCTGGCAGAGAGTCAAAACTCAGTATTTACTGGAGAGGGTGGAGGGGGGATGGCTTTGGAAAAAGAATACTCATTACGTAACATGCAGGGCTCCGATATCAAATTTTGTTTGATTTTGCAACACAGGCATTCCTCCCTTTTACATATTCTTTTACATACTAAGTCTGTTTCATGACTATTATGCAATCAATGCATAAAACGCTTAAAACGCTGTAGATCCTCAAAGATGGACAGGGTTTGCTCTAAAATGCCTGATTATGAAAGTCGGGAGAAGTCAAGTCATTACATTTGCTAAACCTATCTCTTGCCTATTAACATGTTTCAAATATTTACTGGGTAGGGACAGAAACGTGACACATTTCCCAACATTAGTTCTCACCCACAAGAGGCCATATAAAGTGACTTCCTCAGATGCAATCAATCCTCTACTCACAAACATAAAAGATAAAATGGAACGAAGATACGCTTCATAAATAGCTACAAAACCTTTTGAAAACAACATCAAAGTCCTGTTCATCAGCTGTCTCTGTTTAGTGCCCTAAGAGGCATAACAGGTTCTTCTCATTTAGGAATGTTAAAAAGTGTAGCCTCAGTCAGCTGAGGAAATTAATCTGTCCCTCTGCAGGTTTAAGTAAGTGACATTAAGAACAAATAAAAAAGGAACAGAAGCTTTTACTCAGGTCAAAGGTGAATTAATATGTTGGCATTGAACTTCAAACTGTGTGTACCTCTTTACATTTCGAATACAAATACTAGTCCTTAGAATGTAAATTTGTGCAATGGATTTAATGCACTACTTTCTCCATTTAAATTTATTCATTCATTCACTATTCAAATATTCATTGAGCACCTATTACGGGACAGGAACATGGAGCTGGGGATACGGAGAGAACAAGCAAAAGACAACACACATGAAAGCAATAAAACAAGTTCAGATGGTGACAAGTGCTATAAAGAAAATACTACTTTGACCACAGCTATCAGATCATTTTCTTGGTCTATTATGAATGCATGATCTGTAGATCTTAACAAAGAGTCTAGTTTACAGCTCACATTCAAAACACATGTGTACTGCAGTTGGAATATCCTAAATGAGTCAAACGAAGTATAAAAGAATAAGAACCGCTGAAATATGAGACGAAACAGATTTAAAAATCTGTTCTCTCTGCTGTGTATGCACATGGACTAGGAGAAAGGTGAACATCCAATCGATTTTTCTTTAAAAGTGGTAAAAATAGAGACGTTTCTTCAGTATTTCATGACATTATGAGATATTTTAAAGGCAACTGTAAGCATGTTAAGAAAGCTACGTACAAACAAAAATATTAAAATTAATTTCCAAGAGCATTCAAATCACTCCCAACTCCCTCCCCCACGCCCCCAGGGGGGGGCCCCACTTTCACCTCCTTTTGAGTTGCTCTGAAACGCTGCTGGTTAGGCAGGAACTCACTTTTCCTGACTTTGGCTCATTTTCAACTCCCCAAAACATGCAAGGCAAAGGATAAATTGTTCTTAGTCCCATGTTCCATTCCACGGAAAGCAAGAGACAGCCGCTCAGCAACCTCTGTCTCGGCAGCGCCCTGCAGGTGAAGGAACCGCCGAGAAGGGGCTCCCCGAGACCACCATCCCGAGGGCGCGGACCCGGGTCCTCCTGGCCCCTGGACCTCCCGCCAGGCCCGCCGAGTGCGGCCTCCGCCCCACGCGCCGAAAGGAGGAGCGACGCGGAGGATGGAGGAGGCGCGCGGTGGGACCTGGGGTGATGCAGCCACAGCGCCCGGCGCGCCACCAGGCTCCCCACCCGAGGCGCGACCCCGTAACCCAGCCCCGCAGGGCCTCTGACCTCTCCGGGGCCCAGGGCTGCTGCTGCTGCCCCCGCTGCTGCCCGCGCTGGTGCTACCGCTGCCGGAGCCGCCGCTGCTGCTGCTGTTGCCACTGCCCTTGGCATTCTTACGCGGGGCCATAGCGCGCTCCGCCAAGGCTGGCGAGGGTTGGTGGGCTTCCTCAGTGAGCGGGTGGACACACGCTACGCGGGAGCCGCTGACGGCGGCGGGCGCTGGAGCGAGTGCGGGCCCCTACTCCTGCAGCAGAGCCTGTGCCTCGGCACCGCCTGCAGCGCCTCAGAGGACTTTCACCCGCGTGCCGGCTGCGCGCGCCCGGCCTCGCGTGTGCGAACCTGTGACTCACTCCCGGGGCGAGAGCGCGCGGCTCGCCGCCTGACGGCCACGCCCCTTCCCGGCCTCTCCCCGCCCCCGGAAGGCTGAGTGACGGCACCTGGGAGCCAATCGCAAGGGCCCCTATGAGGCGGCGGTACCTTGCCGCGCTCCCCGCCCCTGCACACTTGGGGCCGTTCGGGCGCGACGCAGCTGCCTATAAGCGCAAGCCTCTTTCGGCTTTCCAGTCTGTCCCCGGGTCCTTTGGAACGTGGCAAACGTGGAAGCCGAGAGGGCTCTCGCGAGCGTTGGCGGATTCTGCTCGATGGGGATGGGCCTGGGTGCGGTGCGGGGTGGGCGGACACGTGGGCCGCCCCGGAGCGGAGTGCGCCGCCTCTGGGCTTTTCACTGGGGATTTTGTCCCCTTTCCCTGTACTCGGAAAGGAAGGCGTGCAATCTCGCTTCTTACTAAAGAGATCCCTGTTTTTTGCCCTGATTAATACTAAGACATTTCTGAAATGGTGATATTCGGACTAGTTCAATGCTTAAACCTTAGAAAGTTAATCCCTTTGGTGCTAAAGCAGGAATTTACTTCGTTTGCGCCATCAGTATTTTCAGAGACTCTTAGTTAAGGAATGAAAATGCAAATAAGACACAACAAAAGTTCATGTTCTTACCCTGGATGGCATCATCTATCTGAAATCTCTGCCTGCTTTGCTAATGCCAAGGCCTGTGCTGCCTCAGATTCCTAACAGGGTATTAAAAATGTCTTGGCATGTGGGTGAACCTGACAAGGACTTGAGGTCAGCGACGTCATTTTTTTTTTTTTCTGTTTGAGACAGTCTTAGTCTGTTACCAGGTTGTAGGGCAGTGGCACAATCTTGGCTCACTGCAACCTCCACCTCCCAGGTTCAAGCAATTCTCCTGCCTAGGCCTCCTGAGTAGTTAGGATTCCACGCACACGCCACCACGCCCAGCTAATTTTTGTATTTTTAGTAGAGACAGGGTTTCACCATGTTGGCCAGGTTGGTCCCGATCAATTGACCTTGTGATCCACCCGTCTCGGCCTCCCAAAGTTCTGGGATTACAGGCATGCGACTCCGCGCTGAGCAGAGCCACCTCTTTATCATCTTTGCGTTACTATTGCTAACACCATGCCCAGTATGTAACAGACCAGCAAGAAATGCTTAGCGATTTGATACATTTCTGTCAATTGCTGAAACCTCAACTCTTCATCATGTTTCGTAGCAACCCCTGGGAATGTCTCTGGGGGGCTCAGGCACCAGAAAGTGCAATTGCAGCATTGCATCTGGTTTCATTCCTCTTCTCCAGCCCCACAAACCCACCCACCCCCACCTTCGGTAGCACCCCGGCCTCCCCTGGCCTCATGCCTTTTCAGCTGTGGATGGTTCATTGCTGCCTGACCCTGCTCTGATGATCCACAGAACCCACCACAAGGGTCGTGTTGCAGAATAAAGAGAATGCCTTTCTTTACTTTTTGTCAAATAGGATTAGACCGTTATTAAGAGATGGTGGGAGGAGAGGCCTCACAGAGTTTTTACTGGAGTAGCTCTCTCAGCTTTTATCTTGTGGCATCTCCTTCTGCCTCTACATATCCTTTCTCCCATTTGGGGCTCCTTTACAAACATCTATTATATTATCTCAATGGAGGGGGTGGGGAACTGGATTAAGAGACAAATCTGAATGATGGTGCTTAATATAAAATAAAAATGAGAGCTTAGCTTCAAAACACAATGCTCTAGCCCCCCAAGATACTTTTACTCTTAAATCCTCACAAAGCCCTATAGTTATAGCCATTATTTAAGAAATAAGGTACTAGGAGCTCAGAGAAATAAAATAAGGTCACTGTATCAGTCCGTTTTCACTCTGCAGATAAAGACAAACAGAGACTGGGAAGAAAAAGAGGTTTAGTTGGACTTACAGTTCAACACGGCTAGGGAGACCTCAGAATCATAGCAGGAGGTGAAAGGCACTTCTTACATGGAGGCAGCAAGAGAAAATTAGGAAGTAAAAGCAGAAGCCCATGATAAACTCATCAGGTCAAGTGAGACTTAATTCATTATCATGAGAAGAGCCCTGGAAAGATCGGCCACTATGATTCAATTACTTCTCACTGGGTCCCTCTCAAAACATGTGAGAATTCTGGGAGATATAATTTGATGTTGAGATTTGGGTGGTGTCACAGCCAAACCATATCATTCTGCCCTAGTCCCTCCAAATCTCATGTCCTCACCTTTCAAAACCAATCATCCTTTTCCAAAAGTCCCCCAAAGTTTTAACTTATTTCAGCATTAACTCAAAAGTCCACAGTCTAAAGTCTCATCTGAGACAAGGCAAGTCTCTTCTGTCTATGAGCCTGTAAAATCAAAAACAAGCTAGTTACTTCCTAAATACAATGAAACTACAGGTATTGGATCAATACAGCCATTCCAAATGGGAGAAACTGGCCAAAACAAAAGGTGTACAGGGCCCATGCAAGTTCAAAATCCAGTGGTGCAGTCAAATTTTAAAGCTCCAAAATAATTTCCTTTGACTCCAGGTCTCACATCCAGGTCACTCTGATGCAAGAGGTGGGTTCTCATGGTCTTGGGAAGCTCCACCCCTGGGGTTTTGCAGGGTACAGCCTCCCTCCCAGATGCTTTCACGGGGCTGGCGTTGAGTGTCTGCAGCTTTTCCAGGTGCACAGTGCAGGTTGTCGGTGGATCTACCATCCTGGGGCATGGAGGATGGTGGCAGTCTTCTCACAGCTCTACTAGGCAGTGCCCCAGTAGGGACTCTGTCAGGGGGCTCTGACCCCACATTTTCCTTCCACACTGCCCTAGCAGAGGTTCTCCATGAGGGCTCCACCCCTGCAACAAACTTCTGCCTGAGCATCCAGGTGTTTCCATACATCTTCTGAAATCTAGGCAGAGGTTTCCAAACCTCAGTTCTTCTGTGCACCTGCAGGTTCAACACCACGTAGAAGCTGCCATGGCCTGAGGCTTCCACTCTCTGAAACCACAGCCTGAGCAGTATGTTGGACCCTTTCAGCCACAGCTGTGGCTAGGACAGTCACAGAGCTAGTAAGTGATAGAGCAGGGATGTGAACTTGGTTGGACTGACTCCAGAATCTAAGTCCAAATTATTCCTCCTGGATAAGACATAGTTTTGAGTGGAAAAACTCTCACCTGGCTTCTTTTTCTCTAAATGGATGTCTCTAGGAAGCCTCCTTGGTCCTACCTGCAAAGATAGGTCTGAAACCCAAAAATAGGTGCTTATTGAAGCCTATCTCTTTAAGGAAACCAAGTTTATTTCATAGCTGCCTCCAAAATACTATTAAGTAATGCTTTGCTCCTGCAATTCCAGAAACTAAATCTGGTACCACTGACAAGGTACATTGCTGTGTACCAGACCAAAATAGAGGCTTTTATAAATATGAATCACAGAAAATAAGAGACTACCTAGCTCTTTCTTTTATCCCAAGGAAGCAGCTATGTGCTCAGTATTATAAAATAAAACTTAAATCAGAAGCCATCAATTCTAGACACAGTTTCATTTCAGAGACTGAATTCTTCCAAGCTAAATATCAGAACTATATTTTTTATATCTGTCTGTACTTCCCAGATTATGGGCACCAAAACCACAAAACTTGCCTAGGATTCATGAATTTCTTTACAAAGGCCCTTTTCTCAGCACAGGTTGGGGAGATGAGGGAGACAAAGTATCTTTTAGTATCTTTTAACTTAAACAAGAGGTCAAATGTCCCTTGTTAGCTTCTCTTCTTTTTTGTAATTTTCAAGCAAACTATGAAGAACTATGGGTGAAATAATTTTAAAAGGACCATAAAGACAAAACTTATCTAGGACAATTTATTAAAATACTAATTTAATAGAGCTTTTGAACTAGGCCAAATGTGTCTTTCAGTTATTTCCATAAACCTTCCATTGGCTTCACTGGGATTTGCAAGTGAGAATTGGAGGACACCATTTGCCCTAGTTTTTTTTTTTTTTTCTTTTTTTCTTTTTTCTCATCCTGATAACCCTTTATAACCTCCAGTCAAATTCCTTACAAATTACTCTGAATTTACTTATACCTACTAAAGCATTGTTTTAAAAATTCCACTTTGACCTGCTTCCTAGAAAATATGTCTCATTTTTATGCAGTCTTCCTAATGTGAAGTTTTATTATTGCAAACTGAAACTGAGTATTTCCTTATCTTCATTTGCCATGGTAAATTTCACCATAGTGGAAATCAATGAATTTCAACTGGTCATGATTCAATTATATGTTTTAATATTATATTGGTGAAATTTGTTGCAATGAAAGGATATTGGTAAATATAGAAGCACTTTCAAGGCATTCCCTACTCAGTGTTTTCAAAGCAATTATCCTTGTATGAGTCATATCTCAACATGTAAATGAACTGTTGTTTTCACTAAATAGCTTGACTTCATATTACCTAGAAAAAAATAAGTCCAACTAGTATCTACATCATATACAAATAGAATAAATTTATATGAACAGAAGTGATTTTAAATCCAGCCAAAAATGGATTTGCGTTAGTACTGTTGTGTTATGATATGGTGAAATGATCTATCATTTCCTTTTTCGTATCAATTCTTTAAGTTTCCTATCAAGATTGGTACTTCTTAGAGCCAAAGTTCCTTTCTAACAAATAACATTTAAGTAATGGCTATTGCCAATCTTGAGTTTTCTAGCACAGGGAAATGATGAAATTAACTGACTCTTCTTCAGTCTCAAATTTAATTCTCAGAAAGAAACTTAAGCATGGAGAAAAGGCCAAACATTATAGAATAACAGCCAACTACAGTCATGGCGATTCCATAGTATATAAAGAACATATTCATGTGATTTTGGAATGGTTACAAAGTAATGGAGGAGAAAGGGGAAAAAATATGGAGAAATCTCAAGAATTTAATTGTTTGCAAGGTAATTTTACTTAAACTGTATTTGCCTCAAGGATCGTGTGTGTGTGTCTAAATAAAGCAAATATTTCTTTGTCTTTCATGAAAACAACCTGTCTCTTCCATTGGAAATAGGTCCCTCATCTAAAGAAAAGTATCCAGAAACTAGCTTTTAGAATCCTTCAATGTTGTCAAATCTAAACATGTAAATCAGAAAGATTTGCCTTAAAACGAATAGTGTTATTACAATATGTAAACCTGGATCAATTACTCAACCTAAAGTCTTGACAGTTGACAGGAAATCACACACACACTACACAGAGTTAGTGTTCACTCAGCCCTTTATGCACTGTCATTATTTTGACTTGAATCTATTCTGTAATTTCATAACCACATGACAAATATTACCAGGCCCATGCCAAAAAAAAAAAAAAAAATCCCAAGAGACTTTGCCAAAGAGGCTGCAAGCATAAAAAACAGATAGGATCTCCCTGTATCATTGCAAAGATTTTATTAACCTAAAGACCACTGCTAATATATTTGAAATTCTACAGTATTTCTTTACTTTATGAAGT